TTCCCTTTTTTTTCTCCTATATTCATTGTCTGCTGCTCAAATTGCTCACCTGGGTTCTAACTTCTCCACTGCCCAGGACAGTATCTGAATTCCTAACACTGTGCTGCTTCTCTCACCCAGACTATGGAGCCCCCTGTGGTTCAGTCCTTAGTCTGTTTTATTTCCCTCACTATCGTCACCTCTTCCAGGATATCACCAACTCATCTGTCATGGCCACATAGGTGATTTTCTTTTTTTTATATTTATTTTATTGATTGATTGATTGATTGATTTTTTGGGGGGCTGCATTGGGTCTTAGTTGCCGCACACGGGATCTTCGTTGAGGCATGCAGGATCTTTCCTTGCGGCGTGCGGGTCTTCTCTCTCTCCTTGAGGCATGCGAGCTCAGTAATTGTGGCGTGCGGGCTTAATTGCCCCGCGGCATATGGGATCTTAGTTCCCTGACCAGGGATCAAACCCACGTCCCCTGCATTGGAAGGCAGATTCTTTACCACTGGACCACCAGGGAAGTCCCCACATAGGTGATTTTCAAGTCACTTCTCCAATCCCAATCTTTGGAGTTCTACTTTACTTCTCCAGTTGCTTACTGAGCACATGTTCTTGGGTGTGTCATTGTCACCTCAACTCAGCCTTCTCTAGAGCCCAAATTGTCAGTTTCCTTGTCTTTTTTTTTTTTTTGGCTGCGTTGGGTCTCCATTGCTGCACGTGGGCTTCTCATTGCGGTGGCTTCTCTTGTTGCAGAGCACAGGCTCTAGGTCCGCGGGCCCAGTAGTTGTGGCTTGTGGGCTCTGGAGCACAGGCTCAGTAGCTGTGTAGCACAGGCTTAGCTGCTCCACAGCATGTGGGATCTTCCCAGACCAGGGCTCGAACCCTTGTACCCTGCATTGGCAGGCAGATTCTTAACCACTGCGCCACCAGGGAAGTCCCTTTACATCTATTACTGAGCTCACTATACTTCTAGGTCTTTAGATTCAAGACCTTGACGTCCCCCATGCTTTACCCTTCCATGTGGTCTCAGTCACCAAATTCTGTCCATTTTCTAGTACACTGTCTTTTCCGTGTCTTTCTTTCCATTACTTTCCAGGTCCAGGACTTAAACAGCTCATTGAACTCCATGTGGACTAACTTCTCTCTTTGCCTGCAGTCTGGCCTTTTCTTCCCATTTCTCCTGCACCCTGTTGCCACTTTCATAATATTGCTCCCTGTTGATGTGGCCCCATATATACCTATCCATGTCCCCTGTACAAAAACTCATTGGTCTGGTCAAACCAGATCTGTTTTCTAAGCATATACTGTACTTAACTGGCTGTGTGCCTTAGAACATGCTATGCTCTTCCCTTTCCGTGGGATACTGCTCCAACCCCCTTTTCCCCATCCATGCACATCTTACCAGTCTTTCATGATTTAGATCAAACCACCCTTCATTCTATAAAATCATTTCTGATCATTCTGGCATGTAGTGTCCTCTCCCTTCTCTGACATCACGGGCCTTCTTACGTGGACAACTTAGATGACAGTGTTATATATTCCCTTGCATAGGTATTGTGTATTGTTATCTTGTATTGTTAATCTGATTATCTGATATTATTGTATCCATTCCCCATTATATGCTTCTTGAGGTATGAGACCAAGCGGTATATCCTTTCTGGATACTTGCACTTTGCTTTTGCACATTGTATTGCATGTAGTTATAGTTGATCAATAAATAGCTTTTGGTAAATTGATTTCTTTTTTGTGAAGCTATCTAGAGATTGAAGAGAAGTTCTTAATCCAGGTGACCTGGGACTCAGTAAAAAAAAAACTCCCATGTTTATCTACCTAGATCTTTCATGGTTTTATGGTCCATGACAATATATCCTTTTATCTTTCCACAAGGACAAGCTTTCATCTTTTTCAATCTATGTCTTCATGCAGAAGCTCTCACCCTTGATAATTTTATTGCCTTCCCTAGACCTTTCCTGGCTGCATTTTTCTTCCTTGTGGTTTAAATCATTACTGCATACAGTATAACAAGTGCAATTAGTTTAACCAGTATTGTAGCCCATTAAACACAAGTTTACTTTTGTGGATGACTCACTTACAGATTATTTCTGACACTCTTATAAAGTTTTTAAAAAGAACCAAGTTGAGGTGAAGGATTGGGAGAAAGCCGGCATTTCGTAGTAACATCATTTTTGTGTCAAATGGATTGGACGTAGGGGTTTTTGGATATGTTTTATACAACTAAATCCTGACTGAATTTTGTTTAAAGAAAAGACTGCAGGGTGGTTTTGCCTCGTATAAATTATTTTTAATCAGTTATCTGAAAATGGATTTTATTTATGTTACCTGGTGAAAGCCATTGTGGGTACAAAATTTTTGCAAGGCATTATTTAACTACTGAATTACATAAGCTTTTTAAAAGCTGCTAGATTCCAAAGGGTTTTCAGGGTTGACACATAAAGCAGTCATTATCTAAAACATATGGTGGGAGGACAGCTGCTTACCCAATACTCTTCCCACAAGTAACTCCACCAGGAGAACATTTCTTTTATTCAATACTTACCATGAACACAGCATTGAGCTGCACTGTGCCATCGACACATCTTTAAGAGACACTCAGGGAATAATGACAGGCTTTATACACATATCTCAGGCATCTTTCTGCAAAGCTCATCACCTTTAAGGCGCCCCCTTTTGAAATGCAGCTACCTGTGTGAGAGATCATATCATATCACATCGGGCACTGGGTGATTTAGTAAAGTTTAGTCGGCAACTAGATGGAAATAAGGGTTGGCACGCGCCCAGGGAGGTGGGAGTGTCAGCAGGGAGGAGAGAGGGAGCGGTAACCAAAAACATTGTCCTCTCACTGCCCACTTTTGTCCTGGTAGCCCCATGCATGTTTCCCCAAATAGGCTCTCTGGTCTCCACTTTTTCTCATTCAATACGTGATCTGAAAGGACACAGGAAGCAATGTCAAAAGAGGGAAGCGTGCTGACCTCTAATATACGTATGAGGCATGGTTTTTGACAGTTCATACATTCGCAAAACCAGAAACAAGTGGGCGCCAGTATTACATTTTGAAAAGCTGTGTTCTTCTGCCCCTGAGAATTCAAGACTGGTTGTACTTATATGCACAAGCTACCTTTCTGTTTGAAGGCCTCCATTTACAAGTGTGAATGAGGCAAATACCCACAATGTAGTACAATCTCACATTCTGCTTTGACCTTTTCTATACCTCTTTTGTATTTAATGTTTAGATTGTGAGAATGGTGAAGAATTTAAAAGGCAGCCCAATAACACTGTCGATAGGTGATGGTGCCAATGATGTTAGTATGATCTTGGAATCCCATGTGGGCATAGGTAAGAAACATCTAATGAGATGGCAGCTGTAAGGTATCAGTATTGCTTTTAGGTAGAGTGGTCTTATTATTCTAGAGATTGTTTTGGTTGCTCATCTTGAATCCGAATTTGGGAATGATCATTGTTTATCTAAAGAGGGTCCTCATCGGATCATGGAATATGTCCATGCCAAAGTCCTACCCATGGTGGGAATGTAGCAATACAAAGTTGGAGGATATTATTATATTAGCCAAGTAAAGTGAATTTCCCAAACCTACTAGCCATGCAGTTGATCATTTAGCTCTCACTTTTGACAGCATGCATGAAATTTTATTGATTTTTCGCCCCTGGCCAGATTGCCTGCTTATGTTGCTGCACTATATCTTTTGAGATCTGTAACTGTTTGGGACCGAGAGACGATAGTTGGCTGGCTGATTCTCCACATGGCAATATCTCTGCATGGCGGTTTGGGCTATAGTGGTGAATTTACATGTCGGCATGCAACAACAGCTTCTCTAAAACCTGCGCCCTTTCTTCCCCTGTCAGGCTGCTGGGAGGCAATCCTAACACCCCAGCAAGTGGTTTTTTGGTGGGCGAGAAATAATGGAATTAGTATCTTGGGGATTATTGTACCACAGTTTGGATTCCCAAATTCTTTCCATTTGCAAGTAACCCTACTTAGTGTGGAACTCTAGTTCAACTCATTGGTTATTGACTGTGGAAATGGCCTAAAGCTGCTTGAGCTCATGGAATACTTGGACTGCTACTCAGCCTTGCAGGACATTTGGTCTTGTCTAAAACGTCCAAAGCACATTTGGTCCATGCAGAAGGTCCTTGAAATTTGGTCCTGTCCAAAACCATTTGGCATGGACCAAATATGCTCGTGGACATTTTGGACAGGACCAGATTTCAAAGACCTTTTGGCATGGACCAACTGTCTTATAGTCCAAATGTCTTGACGTTTTGGACAGGACTAAATTTTAAGGATCTTTGGTGTGAACCAACTGTCTTATGAACATTTTGGACTGGAGTAAGTGTTTGACAGCCACTACTCAGTATCATTCAATATAAGGACTTAACCATCTCATTATAACTCTTCAGTTTTGAGCTCTTAGACCATAATCCCCAGGTCTCTGAGTTGCTTTAATATGGCACCTAGTCTGGTGCCATGCATAATTAATCACTTACTAAGTACCTTTAAAATAATTTTCAGACTTAACTATTTCCTCAGGATAATTTTTGCCTTATAATGATTAAAATAATGATTCTATTAATTATTTTATGTTTTGTTATAAATAGGTAATTGTCAATTAAACATAATTTTACTTTTTATTGGTAAGTCTCACTGTCACTGTTGAAAGCACTTTTTGCTTAAGAAAGCAAATCTAAACTGAACTATGCATGTAAGCAAGTAAAAAGTACGAAAGTAACAAGTCAGGTGGTTACTTATTCTATAAAAATACTCACCCTATAGAGATTTTTCTTTTTTTAGGTATCAAAGGCAAAGAAGGTCGCCAAGCAGCCAGGAATAGTGATTATTCTGTCCCAAAGTTTAAACATTTAAAGAAACTGCTGTTGGCTCACGGACACCTATATTATGTGAGAATAGCACACCTTGTACAGTATTTCTTCTATAAGGTATGTGATGAAATACTTGTGATTTAACTTATGACTATTTAACCCAGCATTGGCTCAGCTTGGTTGTAGGTATTTTTTCCTTTTTTCATGTTTCTTTTACTGTCTTAGTACTGAAATTTGTGGTCAGCAAAACAGAGGCAGTCTATTTAACGAATCAGAAACCAGAAATTCCTTTTAATGCAAGAGATTTGAGATGAAAATTTTTAAGTCAACTTTCTTAAAGTATAGTTTAAATACAGTACAATGTACCCATTAAATGTTTACAGTTCAATTTTGACAAATGTATGCATCCATGTGGCTACCACCCGAACCAAATATAGACCATTTCTATCACCCCAGAAAGTTTGCTTGTGCTCTCCTTTCTAGTATTCTCCACCCCTGCACCAAACAACGACTAATCTGATTTACATTACTCTGTGATATATAGTAACATATATGGCGTATAGCACATAAATTTAGATATAATTTATGCAATATACGCATTAGGTTTGCCTGTTTTAGACATGTACCAGAACTTGATCTCCTGTCCTATGTTCTATTCTATATAGTTTTTTAAAGTTTTTTTCACTTTTTGTTTTGAGATAATTTCATACTTTTTAAAAGTTGCAAAATTAGTGAAATCTCATATACTGTTTGCCCAGCTTTGCCAACTGTTAACACCTTAGATAACCCACAACATAGTTACCAAGATCAGTAAATTGATATTAATTGGCACATTATTAACTAGTCTATATACTGTACTGGAATTTTGCTAATGGTCCCACAGATTTTCTTTTTGTGGTCCATTTCAGGCTCATGCTTGCATTTAAGGATCATGATCTCCTTAGTCTTCTTTAGCCTAGAATAGTTCCTGTCTTTTTTGTCCTAATGATCTTATTAACATGTTTGAAGAGTGATGGCCAGTTAGTTTGTAGAATTTCCCTCAATTTGGGTTTGTCTAATATTTGCCTATTATTAGACTCAGGTTTTGCATTTGGACACAATTACCACAGAAGCGCTATTGCAACCTGCTGAATGCATCATATCCGGAGGCACATGTTGTCAGTATGTCTCATGATAATGTCAACTTTGATAAGCTGGTTCAGATGGTGTTCTGAGGGTCTCAAGACCCCTCATTTTTGCTCTGTGTAGTTTCATTTGAAAAGAGCATTCTCCTGCTAAACTAGATATTTTATTCTATGTTGAAATTCATTACTATCGTTGTTCATTCTGTTACTCAAATTGTCACAGATTTGGCGCCTGTTTCCTTAATCATGTCCCCATCATTTTTAAATTTTTATTTTATTGTGATAACACTTAGCATGAGCTCTATGCACTTAACAGATTATTAAGTATATGGTACAGTATTGTTAAGTACAACAGATCTCTAGTACTTACTCGTCTTGCATAACTAAAACTGTATACCCATTGAGTAGCAACTCCCCGTTCCTCCCTCCTCACCCCTTCCGCCTCCCCCGGCCCTAACCTTTTTTGAAGTCTTGTTTATTTTCTGGTACCACATGATGTGCTAGGCTTCTCTTGTATTTTTCTTGCAGTTCAATGGCAAGATGGATTCAGACTTTTCTGCAAGGATCACTTATTCCTTTCCATTATTCGCGAATGGTATTTAGAAATCAAGATCTGGGTGCTAGTTGTGCTCATCGCTACTGAGCTGAAGTTGTTGGGCTGAAATTAAAGGTATCTGTATAAACTCAGTACTTGAACTCAGTTTATGCAGATACCTTTGATTAAATCCGGCAGCACAAGGTTCATTGTAACCTTTCCCTTTTCCATTTAGTAACTCCTTTCTTCAGGGGTGAGAAACCTGGTTCTTATCCTCATAGTGTTTATTTATTTGCTAACTCCTCAAGTACACTTAAAGTAGTTCCAGAATTGCTACTCATACTCCTGTGAGAAACAAATCTAACTTGAGAAATATATTTGTGAGCACTTGTTTTTGTCTTTAGTCTTAGAGAATGTAGTCAAAACACTGTTTCCAAAGTTACTTTTTTTTTCCTTTTCCACCATTTCAGTGTGGTTATGTTATTTATATAGTTAAGGTTTGTGGGGCCTTGGACTCAGTAACTTAACAGCCCCACGTGGGGATGGATGGTTATTCTCTCTTACCTCCCCTTAGTAGGAGAGCCTGTGAAGATTTGCCGTACAGATCTGCCTAGCAATCTGATCCTATTCCAGAAGCTTGGTTTCCCTCTTTAAGATTTTGGCCTGCAATTCAAGCAACTGCCACCAGATGGACGGAATGCTCTGTTAAGAAAAACAAAACAAGCATTAAAATGGCTAATATTTACCAGTGGTCAGTAATTTACATATCCTGGTTCCCAAATTAGGGGATTATTTATGTAGATGCCCTCTGTCTTCATTAGGATCTCTGTGCCCATTATCATCTTAGTTATTGACTTAGCAATATTCCTTTTTTAGTGCTGTCTTTTGTCCCAAGATGATTTCTAATACCTTTGACCCTCTTTGGCTGCCTTCCTTTTATCTTGCCATTGCATCTTCAAGTTGTTGCCCGCCCCTGGAGTACTTCAGTGACAGGTCTTCCTGCTTTCTATTTCTCCATTCGCTCCTCCTTGCATAATTCAGCCAGGTTAATGTTTAGAAAACACCACTTTTCAACTTGTCCTCCAGAAACTCCACTCTCCATTGTCTTAAGAGTTAGTCTGGCTTTTAAGGCACCCCACAGTCTGACCCTGCCCTACCTTATATGTTTAAAATACATATGGCCTTACCTTGGTTCCTGCTATCACCATATCCTATTCATCTGTAACACCTAGTTCAAAGTCTAACTTCTTTATTCATTCAATCAACAAATATGTTTGTATGTGTTACCATGTGCCAAGCATTGTTTCAGGCGCTTGAGAATTCATAATGGAATAAGACAGGCAAAGTCCCTGTTTTCATGGAACTGTTATTCTAATGGGAGGGTCAGACCTCCCCTTCCCACAAAACACCCCCATAATCCACACCAAGCACTGCCTCTTCCAACCTCAGAACACCTCTTTTATATACATAAAGTATGACTCTAGAAAGGCTACCGACAGTATTTTGCATTCTGCCAGAACTGATACATACGAATGAGTGTTGCCCTTCCAGGTGCTAACCTTGGGAGCTCCGATACTCTGGTGCTGTAGGACTTATTCAAAATACATGTAGCAGTTTTCTGTAGAAATGTCCTCCAGAGCCTGCAGTATATATTTACCTAAATATCCTCATCTGCGGCAGTTGTTCATGCTTTAAGGATCCACTGGATTTTTAAAACGGTCTCAAGTCTCCCAGCCTGGTAAATTAGCTAAGTGAGAATGTGTGAGGGAAGGAAAGAGACTGGTTTTTTGACATGGCTCAGAAATGGGCTATTGGGCGTGAGCCATGGCCGCTGAGCCTGTGCGTCTGGAGCCTGTGCTCCACAACAGGAGAGGCCACAACAGTGAGAGGCCCGTGTACCGCAAAAAAAAAAAAAAAAAAGGCTATTGGGGACTTCCCTGGTGGTGCAGTGGTTAAGAATCTGCCTAGCAATGCAGGGGACACGGGTTCAAGCCCTGGTCCGGGAAGATCCCACATGTCGTGAAGCAGCTAAGCCTGTGCGCCACAACTACTGAGCCTGCGCTCCAGAGCCCACAAGCCACAACTACTGAGCCCACGTGCCACAACTACTGAAGCCTGCGCACCCTAGAGCCCGTGCTCCACAACAAGAGAAGCCACCGCAATGAGAAGGCCGTGGACCACAACAAAGAGTAGCCCCCGCTCACCGTAACTAGAGAAAGCGTGTGCGCAGCAATGAAGACCCAACGCAGCCAAAAATAAATAAATTTATTTATTTAAAAAAATATAGAGCTATTGAAGGTGCTGCCCTAAGAGAAATCCAGAGACACCATGAACAAGTGACAGCAGCGCTGAAATACAGTCACAGCCTATATTGAAGGACAGCACTCATTTGAAAATATTAGTTCTGGTGGTTTTGCCTGAAGACGTTAATTTTAGTATTTATCTTCTTACCTAGTGGCTTTTACTGCCTTATGAATTCTCAGCTTGTATTTTTTTAATATGTTTGTTTTTAGTGTTCTCCCAGTTAAATCCCTTAGAAGTAAGAAGTTTTGTTTTTTGTATCACCCGCAGCGTCATCTTTACATATAGTAGGTGATCAATAATAACAGTTAATTGTTTGATGAGGCAGTAACAAAGGCAGTAAAGCATTAGTTGATACTTGTTCATGTCAATATACACTATAATTTCCTGACTACTTATTGGCATTAATTGACTTTTAAATAAAGACTTACAGCTTTATGTCAGTCTACTTTGTGATGATTTTGCAAACCCACTTGGCATTTAAGGTGCAGTACCATTAGGTGTTCATATTATATGAGCTCATTTCTTCCCTACAAGAATAGCAAGAGGGTCTCATAAAGTAAGTGAGGTCCTCTTCTGCCTTGGTAGGGCAAAAGTCGGTATTAATATGAATGTAATTATTTGTTTTGAATTGTTTCCTTACAACTCTGGAGTAGAAGTTTATTGCATTGTGACATTAGAAGGGCTTAGGACTGCCTGTAGACTATCTGGAGTAGAGTTTCCTGTTTTACTTTAGAAAGTTGATCAAGTGAAAAGCATTAACCCTTTTCTTCATTTTTTTTTTCAGAACCTTTGTTTCATTTTGCCACAATTTTTGTACCAGTTCTTCTGTGGATTCTCACAACAGGTTTGTTACCCTAGGTATTTCTTGTAATGTCGTTTTTTTGTTTGTTTTTTGTTGTTGTTGTCTTTTGTTTAAATTTATTTTATTGAAGTATAGTTGATTTACAAGGTTGTGTTAGTTTCTGGTGTAGAGCAAGGTGATTCAGCAATGCATACATATAATAGTATCCACAGAAATGTTAGGGTTTTTTTTAAATTATTTTTTATTGTATTTTATTTTAATTTATTTTTTATGTCAATCCCACTCTCCCAATTCATCCCACCACCACCACCGCCGCCGCCCACCACGACTTTCCCCCCCTTGGTGTCCATACGTTAGTTCTCTGCATCTGTGTCTCTATTTCTGCCTTGCAAACTGGTCCATCTGTGCCATTTCTCTAGATTCCACATACATGCATTAATGTATGATATTTGTTTTTCTCTTTCTTACTTACTTCACTCTGTATGACAGCCTCTAGGTCCATTCACGTCTCTACAAATGACTCATTTCGTTCCTTTTTATGGCTGAGTAATATTCCATTGTATATACGTACCACATCTTCTTTATCCATTTGTCTGTCGATGGGCATTTACGTTGCTTCCATGACCTGATTATTGTAAATAGTGCTGCAATGAACATTGGAGTGCATGTGTCTTTTTGAATTATGGTTTTCTCTGGGTATATGCCCAGTACTGGGATTGCTGGGTTGTATGGTAATTCTATTTTTAGTTTTTTAAGGAACCTCCATACTGTTCTCCATAGTAGCTGTATCAATTTACATTCCCACCAACAGTGCAAGAGGGTTCTCTTTTCTCCACACCCTCTCTAGCATTTGTTGTTTGTAGGTTTTCTGATGATGCCCATTCTAACTGGTATGAGGTGGTACCTGATTATAGTTTTGATTTGCATTTCTCTAATAATTAGTGATGTTGAGCAGCTTTTCAAGTGCTTCTTGGACATCTGTATGTCTTCTTTGGAGAAATGTCTATTTAGGTCTTCTGCCGAATTTTTGGTTGGGTTGTTTGTTTTTTTAATATTGAGCTGCATGAGCTGTTTATGTATTTTGGAGATTAATCCTTTGTCAGTTGATTCGTTTGGAAATATTTTCTCCCATTCTGAGGGTTGTCTTTTCGTCTTGTTTGTAGTTTCCTTTGCTGTGCAAAAGGTTTTAAGTTTCATTAGGTCCCATTTGTTTGTTTTTGTTTTTATTTCCATTACTCTAGGAGGTGGATCAAAAAAGATCTTGCTGTGATTTACGTCAAAGAGTGTTCTTCCTGTGTTTTCCTCTAAGAGTTTTACAATGTCTGGTCTTACATTTAGGTCTTTAATTCATTTTAAGTTTATTTTTGTGTATGGTGTTAGGGAGTGTTCTAGTTTCATTCTTTTACATGTAACTGTCCAGTTTTCCCAGCACCACTTATTGAAGAGACTGTCTTTTCTCCATTGCATATCCTTGCCTCCTTTTTCATAGATTTGTTGACCATAGGTGCGTGGGTTTATCTCTGGGCTTTCTATCCTGTTCCATTGATCTATATTTCTGTTTTTGTGCCAGTGTTATATTGTCTTGATTACTGTAGCTTTTTTTTTTTATAAATTTAATTTATTTTATTTTATTTTTTATTTTATTTTTGGCTGTGTTGGGTCTTTGTTGCTGCGTGCGGGTTTTCTCTGTTGTGGTGAGCGGGGGCTACTCTTTGTTGTGGTGCACAGGCTTCTCATTGCGATGGCTTCTCTTATTGTGGAGCACGGGCTCTAGGCGCACAGGCTTCAGTAGTTGTGGCTCTCAGGCTCTAGAGCACAGGCTTAGTAGTTGTGGTGGATGGGCTTAGTTGCTCTGCGGCATGTGGGATCTTCCCAGACCAGGGCTCGAACCCGTGTTCCCTGCATTGACAGGCAGATTCGTAACCACTGCACCACCAGGGAAGGCCCTGATTACTATAGCTTTGTAGTATAGTCTGAAGTCAGGGAGTCTGATTCCTCCAGCTCTGTTTTTTTCCATCAAGACTGCTTTGGCTGTTCGGGGTCTTTTGTGTCTCCATACGAATTTTAAGATTTTTTTCTTCCAGTTCTGTAGAAAATGCCACTGGTAATTTGATAGGGATTGCATTGGATCTGTAGATTGCTTTGAGTAGTATAGTCATTTTCACAATGTTGATCCTTCCAATCCAAGAACATGATATGGCTCTCCATCTGTTTGTGTCGTCTTTGATTTCTTTCAACAGTGTCTTACAGTTTTCTGAGTACAGGTCTTTTACCTCCTTAGGTAGGTTTCCTCCTCAGTATTTTATTCTTTTTGTTGCAATGGTGAATGGGATTGGTTCCTTAATTTCTCTTTGTGATCTTTCATTCTTAGTGTGTAAGAATGCAAGAGATTTCTGTGCATCAACTTTGTATCCTGCAACTTTATGAAATTCATTGATTAGCTCTAGTAGTTTTCTGGTAGCCTCATTAGGATTCTCTATGTGTAGTATCATGTCATCTGCAAACAGTGACAGTTTTATTTCTTTTCCAATTTGTATTTCTTTTTCTTCTCTGATTGCCGTGGCTAGGACTTCCAAAACTATGTTGAATAATAGTGGCGAGAGTGGACATCCTTGTCTTGTTCCTGTTCTTAGAGGAAATGCTTTCGGCTTTTCACCATTGAGAATGGTGTTTGCTGTGTTTGTTGTATATGGCCTTTATTATGTTGAGGTAGGTTCCCTCTGTGCCCACTTTGTGGACAGTTTTTATCATAAATGGGTGTTGAATTTTGTCAAAAGCTTTTTCTGCATCTGTTGAGATGATCATATGGTTTTTATTCTTCAGTTTGTTAATATGGTGTATCACATTGATTGATTTGCATGTACTAAAGAATCCTTGCATCCCTGGGATAAATCCCACTTGTTCATGATGTATGATCCTTTTAATGTGTTGTTGGATTCTGTTTGCTAGTATTTTGTTGAGGATTTCTGCATCTGTATTCATCAGTGATATTGGTCTGTAATTTTCTTGTTTTGTAGTATTTTTGTCTGGTTTTGGTATCAGGGTGATGGTGGCCTCATAGAATGAGTTTGGGAGTGTTCCCTCCTCTTCAGTTTTTTGGAAGAGTTTGAGAAGGATGGGTGTTAGCTCTTCTCTAAATATTTGATAGAATTCACCTGTGAAGCCATCGACTTTTGTTTGTTGGAAGATGTTTAATCACAGTTTCAATTTCATTACTTGTGATTGGTGTGCTCATATTTTCTATTTCTCACTGCTTCAGTCTTGGAAGGTTATGCCTTTCTAAGAATTTGTCCATTTCTTCCCGGTTGTCCATTTTATTGGCATAGAGTTGCTTGTAGTAGTCTCTCATGATGCTTTGTATTTCTGCGGTGTCTGCTGTAACTTCTCCTTTTTCATTTCTAATTTTATTGATTTGAGTCCTCTCCCTCTTTTTCTTGATGAGTCTGGCTAAAGGTTTATCAATTTTGTTTATCTTCTCAAAGAACCAGCTTTTAGTTTTATTGATCTTTGCTATTGTTTTCTTTGTTTCTATTTCATTTATTTCTGCTCTGATCTTTATGATTTCTTTACTTCTACTAACTTTGGGTTTTGTTTGTTCTTCTTTCTCTAGTTCCTTTAGGTGTAAGGTTAGATTGTTCATTTGAGATTTTTCTTGTTTCTTTAGGTAGGATCTTACTGCTATAAACTTCCCTCTTAGAACTGCTTTTGCTGCATCCCATAAGTTTTGGATCGTCGTGTTTTCATTGTCATTTGTCTCTAGGTATTTTTTGATTTCCTCTTTGATTTCTCCAGTGCTCTCTTGGTTATTTAGTAACGTATTGTTTAGCCTCCATGTGTTTGTGGGTTTTACGTTTTTTTTTCACTGTAATTGATTTCTAATCTCGTAGCATTGTGGTCAGAAAAGATACTTGATATGATTTCAGTTTCCTTAAATTTACCAAGACTTGATTTGTGACCAAGATGTGATCTGTCCTGGAGAATGTTCCATGTGCACTTGAGAAGAAAGTGTAATCTGCTGTTTTTGGATGGAATGTCCTATAAATATCAATTAAATCTATCAGGTCCATTGTGGCATTTAAAGGTTGTGTTTCCTTATTAATTTTCTGTCTGGGTGATCTGTCCATTGGTGTAAGTGAGGTGTTAAAGTCCCCCACTATTATTGTGTTACTGTCAATTTCGTCTTCTATAGCTTAGCAGGCGCCTTTTGTATTGAGGTGCTCCTGCATTGGGTGCATATATAATTGTTATATCTTCTTCTTGGATTGATCCCTTGATCATTATGTAGTGTCCTTCCTTGCCTCCTGTAACAATCTTTATTTTAAAGTCTATTTTAGGGACTTCCTTGGTGGCACAGAGGTTTAGAATCCGCCTGCCAATGCAGGGGACACGGGTTCAAGCCCTGGTCCGGGAAGATCCCACATGCCGCAGAGCAGCTAAGTCCGTGCGCTACAACTACTGAGCCTGTGCTCTAGAGCCCACGAGCCACAACTACTGAGCCCACTCACCTAGAGCCCGTGCTCTGCAACAAGAGAAGCCCCTGCAATGAGAAGCCCGCACACAGCAACAAAGAGTAGCCCCTGCTCTCTGCAACTAAAGAAAGCCTGCGCACAGCAACAAAGACCCAACACAGCCAAAAATAATAAATAAATGAATGAATTTTAATTTTTTAAAAGTTAGTAAAAACTAAAGTCTATTTTTTCTGATATGAGTATTGCTACTCCAGCTTTCTTTTGATTTCCATTTGCATGGAATACCTTTTTCCATCCCCTCACTTTCAGTCTGTATGTGTCCCTAGGTCTGAACTGGGTCTCTTGTAGACAGCATATATATGGGTCTTGTTTTTGTATCCATTCAGCGAGCCTGTGTCTTTTGGTTGGAGCATTTAATCCATTCACATTTAAGGTAATTATCAATATGTATGTTCCTACTACCATTTCCTTAATTGTTATGGGTTTGTTTTTGTAGGTCCTTTCCTTCTCTTGTGTTTCCCACTTAGAGAAGTTCCTTTAGCATTTGTTGTTGAACTGGTTTGGTGGTACTGA